CAGCCACTCTCTACTTTATGCTTTGAGGCAGAGTTTCTCCACTGAACCCAGAGCCTGTCAGTACAGATGTTCATATGCTTCTCTGCCTTCTGGGGTCTGGAATTACTGTCAGGCCTCCACACCCACCCTGGCATTTAGATGAGTTCCAGAGAACCTAAACTCATGTCCTCAATATTTGGTACTTTATCCACCAAGCCATCTCTCTGTAGCATGAATTCTAGTTGGTCTTAATAAAAACCCAGAGACAAATATTAGGGTTCAAGTTGAAGATCAGAAAAAGCAAAGCAGCCACCCACTAGAGTGTTCTTGCCTCTACCAAGGCTCAGACCAAAGGGGGGGGGTCCTCTACTCAGTATAACTGCAGACTGCAATGCTCTCCACCAAATCTCAGACTCCCTGAGACTGCACTGAGCTCCTGCCTTACATTCCTCTCTAGTGCTGGGATTAAAGGTGTGTCATCCCAAGTGCTGGGATCAAAGGTGTGAGCTCTGTTTCTCTTTTAGTCTGATTCACTGTCATGTAGACCTGGGTATCCTTGAATTCACAGAGATCCAGCTGCCTCTGTCTCCTGAGTGCTGGGATTAAAGGTGTGGCCACCACTGCTGGTCCTTTACTGCTAACTAGTGGTTTAGCTCTTAACTAGGCGTGTGGTTAACTATGGCTTAACTCTGCATTCTGATCTTCAGACAAGCTTTATTTGATTACAAAAAATATCACTACATCTCTCTAGAACTAGTTTTGTCTTTTCTTTTATTTCCCTCTATTGGCTTCCTGGTAGAGTAAGTTTTTCAGTTTCTGATCTAACATATTTGTTGCTTATCATCGAGACAAAGGTCCCAGTTACTGCTTTGCTTTGCCATCTATGACATAAGCAAGTGAGATTATGCATGAAAGCACAGGAGCATCAGGTCAGGCTCCAAAACACTTTCAGCCAGAGGAGCTCTGTTATTACCGTAAATAGGTTTTAAATAAAAGCAAGAGATTCACAGCTTTTTACCTAAATCAGGAAAGCAGTGCTGAGGGAAGATGTGGAATTTAAAGGAAAAATCTTGATGTTAAAATTATGAATGAAGCAGGCATGGTGCACATACCTTTAATCCCAGGACTCAAGAGACCAAGACAGAATTGCTGCCTGGCTAAGGCAGCCTGGGCCGCATAACACAGTAAAGGCCAGTCTTCCTAGGATTCACTGTTATAGCCTATAACATTCCATTTCTTTCTGTAGTCAAATATGGTTAGCTATGTTGAATATACTACATCATGTTTGTCCATTCATTCTTTGGTAGACATTGGGTGTTTCTGCTTTTTTACTATTGGAAGTAATTTAGCCATGAACACTATGTAATGGGCTGAGGTTCAGGAGTAGAATGTAACCCTAGCACTGGATAGCTAAGGATGGCCTTGAATTCTTGGTTTTCCTCTCAAATATTGAGATTACAGATGTTGGCTTCTAGGTCAAGCTCTTGGAATATATTTTTAATTTATTTTAAGATTTATTTTTATTATTTTTAATTATTTATATGTGTTTATGTATGGATATGCCTGAGGTGGATGCCTGAAGTTGATGCCTAAGGAAGCCAACAATGTTAAATGCTCCTAGAACTTGAGTCACAGGTACTTGTGAGCTACTTGATATGGGTGTTAGGAATTGAACTTTTTTTTTAAATGCATATGGGGGTTTTGCCAATATGTATGTCTGTGCACCATGGGCATGTCTGGTGCCAATGGAGGCCAGAAGAGGGGGTCAGATTCCCTGAATTGGAGTTAAGGATGGCTGTGAGCTGCCATGTAGGTGCTGGGAATGAAACCCAGGTCCTCGGCAGAGCAGCCAGGGCTCTTAACTGTTGAGCCATCTCTCCAATGGAACATATTTTTAAATAAAATGCCATATTTTTTCTACCAGTGGGGACTAAAGTGATGACACATCTGCTTGGAGAATATGTAATTTGTATATTTATTTTTGTTTTTGCTGTTCCTTTGGCAGTAAGGATCAACTCCAGAGCCTTGCCAATACTAAAAGCACACTCTACTGCTCAGCCACCCCTTCAGCTGAAGATGTGGCTTGTATGACCTGCCTGTACCCAGAACCGTACTCACAGACATATATGTACATATATGCCCATATTCCCTTCCCACTCTTCCTAGTGTGGGTGTGTCATAAATTTGAAATATCTTGACATCTGTTTCTTGTACTTCTGATTTTCTTTCAAATTAAGTGTGACTGGAGATGTAGATCAGTGGGTAGACTGTTGGCCTAGCATGTATGAGGTTCTGGGTTTGATCCCCAGTAGTGAATAAAGCATGTGTACTGGTGTAGCATAGCATGCCTATAATCCTGGCACTAGGGAGGTGGCAGCGGGGAAGATCAAGAACTCAAGGGGACCCTCAGCTACACAGTAAGTTTGAGGCCAATCTGGGCTATGTGAGACCCTGTCTTAAATCGTAATAATTTCCCTGCTCCTTTCCCTGATTTTGTTTTTCATTTATCCTTCATTTCTTTATCCCAGAACTCTCTGACAGAAGAGTTCCTTCAAACATACCGCAGATTCTATCAGTTTAATCTTTTTCTTTGAACCCCCATCCTAGCAACCATCAATTCTGATGCAGCCTGGCCTAGTTGCTCTTTAGGCCACCTGCACAGCTGTCACACTAAGACCACCCCTCTCTCTTACCCATAAACCTTTTCACTCCATTTCCCGAGTGGAACATTGTCCTTTCTCTTTCTGGGTTGGTCTCTGAAAAGAGTAGCCTCATAAGAACAACTGAATGAGAACAAATTTCTTAGGTTTTTATGTGTTTGAAAAAGTTAGATTCTGTCCCTGTGTTTGATAGTTTGAGAGAAACAGGCTTCTGTATTGGTATTTACCTCCCTTTGGAATGTTGAAGCCATTTGTACATTGTCTTCCAACTTCCAGTTCTGATGATCAGATGCGACTCAGGTTCTAATGCTCCCTGTATGACCTGTTTCTCTCTGGTGGGTTTCTTTCTTTTCTTTCTTTCTTTCTTTCTTTCTTTCTTTCTTTCTTTCTTTCTTTCTTTCTTTCTTTTCTTTCTTTCTTCTCTCTCTCTCTCTCTCTCTCTCTATCTTGAAACAGGTTTCTCTATGCTGGAACTCACTCTGAAGACCAGGCTGGCCTCAACTCACAAAGATCTGCCTCCTGAGTGCTGGGATTAAAAGTTCTGGAGGGGTTTAAATGATCATCTCTTTTCTGATCACGTTTCTTGGTGTAGGAATATTTTCAACTAGTGTGCTGAACAATGTGTGAACTTTCTGCCAGGAGATTCACTACATTCTTGATACTCTAGGATAATTCATTAGAGGGCATTATGGTTAGGGTCCTGACTGTCCCCCAGAGACCTGTGTGTTGGTCCTCAGCCTGTGGTGTCATTGAGAAGTGGAACCTCTAGGGATAGAGCCCCAGTGAAAAGAAGATAGGCTATGGGGCATGCTCTTAAGAGGGTACTGGACCATGGGGCCTCTTCCTCTCTCTCTTGCTTCTGCTGTCATGTCCTCTTGCTCTGGTGCTTTGTGGTAACACAGGTCCAAAGCAAATGATCAGGGACTGAAACCACCAGCCAAATGAACCTTTCTTCCTTACAGGATAATTAAGCATAATTTTGTCAGTGACAAAGAGCTAACACAAAGGTGGTCCTGGAATTTTTTCTTCTCTGTTTTCATGTCTTAAAAATTTCCTTTTGTTAATGTTCAGTCCTCAAAAATCTCATGACCCAGATGGGCATGGTTGAGCATACAGCAATTGGGGGGTGGGGGGCTGAGGCAGGAGGATCATGAGTTTGAGGCCAGCCTGGGTTATATAGTGAATTCACCAGCTGGGTTACCTAAGGAAACCTATCTTTAAAAAAAAATGAGAGACAGACAGAGGCTGAGACTCTGGTTGTAGACTTTGTACATAAAGCATGAATCATTAAGCTAGTGGGAGTCACAAAAGGATTAACAATTTGACTAGGCTTAGAGAACCAGGGCATTGTAACTCAGAGATCATTATAATTAAAGGACAGAAGAAGTAAAGAAAATATAGTCAGGTATGATGGTGTGCCTATAATCCCAGAACTTGGAAGGCTGAGGCAAGAGGATTAAGTGATCCAGGACAGCCTGAGTTAGAGTCTGTTTCAAAAATACATAGGTAGGTAGGTAATAAATTTATATCTATTAATAGTGAGATTCCATATCAAAGAAGAAAATATTAATATAACCACATGTGGTGGTGGCACACGCCTGTAGTCCCAGCACTCGGGAGGCAGAGGCAGGCAGATCTCTGTGAGTTCGAGACCAGCCTGGTCTACAAGAGCTAGTTCCAGGACAGCCTCCAAAGCCACAGAGAAACCTGTCTCAAAAAACAAAACAACAACAACAAAAAGAATAACTGTTAAAAGCAGGTCAGTGGTGACACACACCTTTAATCCTAGACTCAGGAGGCAGAGGCAGGTGGAGCTCTGTGATTTTGAGACCAGCCTGGTCTACAAGAGCTAGTTCCAGGACAGCCTCCAAAGCCACACAGGGAAACCCTGTCTTGAAAAACAAACAAACAAACAAAAAAGAATATCTGTAGCATGCTATCTTACAAGTTAGGCTAAACTTTAGTTATTCTCTCCCGTAACTAAAAATGATAATTACATCATTTTTGATACTGCATTTATAGCAATGAGTCATTATCAAATACTGAAATATGACCTGGCAGAATGCCAACATGAGCAGCTTATTCTGTGAGTCTCGTGAAAGAGGTTTCAGTTGGTCTGTAGCTCTATAAACCACTTGGTTGGGCTTTCCATGTTCAGTAGGTTTTTGTTGTTGTTTGAGACAGGGTCTTATATATCCAAGACTGGGCTTGAATTCATTATGAAGACAAAAATGACTTAGAAATCCTGATTCTTCCACCTTTATCCCCTGAGTGGCTAGGATTACAGGTATGTGCCATCATACCCAGCTCTTGTGTTTAGTTTTTTTATGATATAACTTAGAAATTTTATTCATTTATTTTTATTTTATTTATTGTTTTTGGTGTGTGGGGGTTCATGCTGAAACCATGGAGGTCATAGGGCAACTTTGTGGCTATGGGTTCTTTCTTTCTACTTTTCTATGCTGTTCCAAGTATTAAACTCAAGTTGTTAAGAGTTGCAACATCAAGCAAGAAGCATCTTTGACCAATGAGCCATCTCACTGGCCCTATTTATGTTTTCTTAGTTATTTTCCTTACAGATTTTATGTAATTAGGAGAAAAATACTGAATTGAATATTCTAATTTCTGAAAAATAAGATTGGCAGGATGTTTTTAATCCATTTTCCTTAGTTAACTTGCTTTCTTTTGTTTTTTCTGTAATATTAGAGATTGAATCCAGGTCTTCACACAGGCCAAGCAATCACTTTACTACTTAAATCCTTAGCCATAGTTTTGTTTGTTTGAGACAGAGTCTCATATAGTCTAAGCTGTCTGCAAACTTGCTGTCTAGTCCAGGCTGGCCTTGAACTCCTGACCTTCTTATCCCTAAATTACATCCTGGCAGTAGAATAACAGGCATATTTGCTCTTTGAACTTACAGTGCTTTGAGACAGTTTCTTATGAAACCCAGGCTGCCCTTGAACTCACTCCTGAGCCCTCTGCCTCCACTTCCCAAATGCTGGAATTGAAGTTATGCCCAGGTTACACAATGCTGAAGAATACCCATGACTTCATTTATGCTAGGCAGGTACTCTATTACTAAACTACAGCTCCAGACCCTTTCATTTTTCTTTTCCTTTCTTTCTTTTTTGGTTTTTCTCTGTAGCTTTGGAGGCTGTCCTGGAACTAGCTCTTGTAGACCAGGCTGGTCTCCAACTCACAGAGATCCGCCTGCCTCTGCCTCCCCACCGCTGGGATTAAAGGCATGCCCCCCCCCCCCCCGCGTTTTTTTTTTTTTTTTGCTTTTCAAGACCTGGTTTCTCTGTCACTTTGGAAGCTGTCCTCGAACTAGCTCTTGTAGACCCGGCTGGTATCAAACTCACAGAGATCTGCCTGCCTCTGCCCCCCCCCCCAGTGCTGGCATTAAAGGCATGTGCCACCAACACAGAATTTAGACCCTCTTTTAATTAGGTACTGGAGCTCACTAAGTTGTCCAGGCAGGCCTGGAACTCATTATGTAGCACAGGCTAACTTTTTGTTTGTTTGGTTTTGGTTTTTTTCGAGATAGGGATTCTCTGTATTGCTTTAGAGCCTGTCCTGGAACTCACCATGTAGACCAGGCTGGCTTGGAATTCAGAGATCCACCTGCCATTGCCCACAGAATGCTGGGATTAAGGTATGCACCACCAACCCCCAGCTGGCACAGGCTAGATTTAAGCTCATGATAATCCTCCTGCTTCAGCTCCCTAGTTGCTGTGATTACGGGTGTGTTTCACTACACTCTGCTCACTTAATTTATTTTAAACTTCTTGGAAATAATTGGATCTCATTTTTCTGAAGATATCAGGTAAAATCAGAAAATATGACTGTAGCCATTAAGCCTTTCACTGAGTAAGGGTAATACAATCTATAAAGAGGTCATAGACAAAAAAAGCAACTTTATTATTTTAAGATTCTTCTGTTTTTGCAAAAGAAAACATAAAAATATTAAGCAAGGATTTTTTTTCCCCAAGACAGGGTTTCTCTGTGGCTTTGGATGGAGCCTGTCCTGAAACTAGCTCTTGTAGACCAGGCTGGTCTTGAACTCACAGAGATTCCCCTGCCTCTGCCTCCGGAATCTGGGATTAAGGTGTGGGCCACCACTGCCCCACTTAAGCAAGGAATGTTAAGCACACATCTATAATCCCAGCATTAGGGAGGTGGAGGCAGAAAATCAGAAATTTCAAAGACAGCCTGAGCTACATTAGTACCTTTCTTAAAAAACAAAAACAAAAATTTCAGTTCATTTGGCTTTAAAGGAAAAAGGAAACCACCCTGAATGGCTGTGTTTTCCCACAGTCTGGATGCTCTGTCTCTGGAGATGATTGCTTACTGCAGGAACCAGCCCTTTCATCCTCTTCTCCCTTTAACTTTATAGGCATTTCTAGCTTATTTGCCTCAAATTGGTTCAGAAGGAGGACAATGAGCTGAGCACAGGCCTTACTTGACTGCAGCCAATTTTTCTTAACCAAGTGATACAGTATGAGTGTGTTCCCTCACTTTTATGTGTTGTAACTGAA